TCCGGGAACCCCAGGCGGTGCGATGCGCTAGAGGAATGAGAGGCCCGCGGAGACGTACTCGACGGGGAAGCTCTCACCGTGATCCTCAGATCTCCCTGACCATGAACCGAAGTAGCTAGAACAGGGCATGGCAAGGGAGATACCCCCCCCGTTTAATGAGGAGGTATCTAGACCGCAACACCGCGATGGTCATGTTCCCGCACTGAGAACATGACTCATCCATGAGCGCTGCTTCAGCGTGCTGCAAGCCCAAGCACGAGACACAGCGATCATGACCGTCAGATGAAGCCAGGAAGCGACCACATCCAGAAACGCATGAGCGGGAAGCCAGCTTTAAAAAGACGCCCGTCGTTCGTGGAGCTCTTTTAGATATTTGCTCTTTTAGAAAAATGGAAACACTCTTTTAGAGAGAGCGCTGAAGCGCCCAGGGGAGGTCGCGGCGAGACCGCAGAATGGAAGCTACAGCACGCCGAGGTTTCTAGCAGCACTGGATGGCAACCCCCGCTGACACGCCGTGACATCAACGCCAGCTGTTTTTCTGCAAACACTGGCGGAGATTCGTCTTGAAAAACACCAACGCTAGGCTGTTTCTTTGCAGACACTCGCGGAGATTTGTCCTAGTAGAAGGCTCGGCTCCAAAGCGAAAAGCTGATGTACGTTTGCACGCGCTCTCCTTTTATACCCGCACTGCGGGGCGGGGTGCGCATGGCGAAACATGCACGCCAACTGTCATTGGCTTGTTTAGTTAACACTCGAAGGTGATTGGGCTCTCGGGCAAGATCCCAATTCGTCAGTCATGACTGACGTAACGTCGAACGTGACTGACTGAAAGGGAACATAGATACTCTGACATGAGCAAAAGTGGCAGGGTGGATTTGTAAAGCAAACCCTGTAGCTCTTCCACTCTCCTCCGTTATCCCTTTTCCACACTCTCCCTTTTTTCTCCATACTGAGAGAGGGGTCAGTGGCACATTATCTGTGAGAAGCACTGTGTGAGAGGATGGGATAAAGTACACACACACACACACACACACACATACGGAGTTATGATAGGTCATGGCACCAGCTGGGGTGTATTCAATTTTCCTGCCGGTAATCGGCGTAACCTTGTTCTTAAAATCCAATGACGGAGAGATATGCCATGTGTTGATGATGCATTAATGGACTATTTGTCTCTCCTCTCTTGCCTTTTTCCCTCTCTGTCCCCATTCCATTATTTCTCCCCATCTGCATATAATCTATCACCCCGTCTTTCCACCCGGTCTCATTGTTTGTCGTTCAGCGGATGGATGGCTCCAGCGTGTCGTGATTTTGGGTTCAGAGGCTCATGTGATAGAAGAGATCCAGCTGTTTGATCGGCAGCAACCAGTGGACAGCCTCACCATCTCGCACAGCAAAGTAATTTCTGATCTGTTCTCTTGCTGAGCCAATCTCTTTGAACCCAGCTCTCCTGCCTGTCTAGCATTAACCGGTTTTGTTCAAACTGAGTAGGAAAACAGAATGCACTGATAACTGAAAATAATTTACTTGCTTGTATTGTTTTCCTTCATTTATTCCCAAATCTTTCCATTCTTTCTCCACAGAAGTATTTGTACATTGGCTCACGCTCTGAGGTTCTTCAGCTGCCCTTGGCAAACTGCAGCCGGTACCATTCACAGCCAGACTGCCTGCTGTCCCGAGACCCGTACTGTGCCTGGGACAGCGAGGGACGCGCATGTGTCCGCATCGACCTCCACCGCGGGTAAATTCATCTATCTTTTAGTTAGTTCTGCCACTAACATCCTTTCACCATCATCCATCCACTCCTTTTCTCGTGTCTGTTGTGCTCTCCTTTTTGTTTTCTTTCCGTTTCTACTCTTGCTCTCCTCCACCGTTCGCTCCTCATCATTTTGCAAAGGCTTTCCCTTTCCACCCCGCTCTGTTCTCCTCCACAGGTCCCTCTTTGTACTTTTAAGCTGCATCCCTATAGCAGTGTGTCTAACAGCCTTCTGACACATCATCAATATTTGTGCTCCCCCCCCACAGCTCCACATCCACACTCTCGCAGGACCTCATGCTGGAGAGGTTCAACCGAGGAAAAGCCAAGTTTGATAAGCCTTTCTCCATCCCCAGTCCTGGTACGTCAGACTTACGCTGCCCCCTGCAGGCCCCCTGTAGTGAGTGGTTTTCCATTTGGGGTCACACACACGTTTAGGCAGTGTTTAATAAGGTCAATGAGATTACTACTACTACAAAAAAAATAAAAAAATAAAATATATATATATAGAGAGAGAGAGAGAGAGAGACCTTGCAAGCCACTTTAATTACCAAAAGTATAAACCCATCATACATTAATTAACATCATGAAGACATTAAGGAGTAAAAAGTAGAGGGGAAAAAAACTAATTGCATTCAAACATAAATCTTAAGAGATCCATCATCATCAATTCCACAGATACATTGATTTACTCCCCATACGTTACTAAAAGTTTCTAAATCTTCCAACAAGTGATAAAATGCATATTCTATTTTCAATCTTGATTTTATTAAACCCTTTAAAATTAACACAGCATCAGCTGACCCCAAACCACTGAGTTTACTTTTACGTGACAGCCATATTGCCATTTTAGCTTGTCCAAACAAAAAAATTATTAAAACGTGAACTTGTTTTCTATTCCAGCAATATTTGGGTCCATAAATAAAAAACATCATAGAAAAAAACCTCCCCCAAAGTTTGACACCATTGCTCTATTTGAGCAAACAATTGCTGTAGTCTCACACATTGACAAAATAAGTGAAAAATTGTCTCTGTTGCTCCACAAAAAGGACACCCTTCCCCTACCTGTGGATCAATGTGTGTGTGTGAGAGAGGGAGAGAGAGAGAGAGAGAGAGAGAGAGATTGGATTTTTTTAGAAGAACGTTTTTTAAAGAAGTCTCTTATGCTCATCACGGCTGCATTTGTTTGGTCAAAAATACAGTAAAAACAGTGATATTGTGAAATATTATTACAAATTGAAATAACAGTTTTCTATTTTAATACACTTCAAAATAGAATTTATTCCTGCGGTGGCAAAAAATAAATAATAAAAATAATTTAAATAAATAAATATTTTTTTTATCAAATTAACATTTCCTTGCGGAATAAAAGTATTCATTTCTTAAAAAAAACCTTCCTGACCCCAAACTTTTGAATGGTAGTGTATAATAATCTAATCAATAGCTGAAGCTAAACAGTACATTTTTGTCAATAGACCAAAAAATATTACTAAAACAAAGAGCTAAATGTAAAAAAAGACACTGTAGTATTATTTTATTACATTTATTTTATTATTTTAAAAATTAAATAAATCATATATTAATGTTTTCTGTTTTATTCCCCCAGATCATTCTAGGTTGAGAAATGTGACTGTGGTTGTTGGGTCAGATCTGGTATTGCCCTGCCATCTGGTTTCCAACTTGGCCCAGCCCTTCTGGGAGCTCAACGAACGTGAGCTCGCCCTGGTAGAAGGTGAGGCCGTGGGGCCGCAATTCGACCGTGCCCTCCGTGCCCTCGTTATCCCCCAAGCCGGCCCCCTTCAAGCAGGCCGCTACATCTGCTATTCGGAGGAGCAGGGTGTGAAGTTCCAGACGGAAAGATACCAGGTTGCGGTGGTAGCCAGCGCGCCCGTCTTCATGGAGGCCCGCGCTCCTGATGGCAGCATGGGTTTGTTCTGGGTCCTGGTGATCACTTTGGGTGCTGCTTGTCTGTTGCTGCTAATCGTGTCTTTGTACCTTCGTAGAAGACTGAAGTTGGCACTGGGAAAAGGAGCGGAAATGAAGCCGCTGGAGAGCACTTTAGTGTACCCCATTACTTTACCCAAAGAGCCTCCCAGCCGGCCATCATTTGTGCCAAGCAAGATGGCGAACGATGAGGATCGCTTCTGGGAAACAGGGGCCAATTACTACTATTCGGACGGCTCCCTGAAAATCGTGCCTGGGCATGCAATGTGCTCCACCGGAAGCTCGGCATCTCCGAGCGCCATTCCCGGTCAGCCCATTCACTCGCCAAGCAGGTTGAGCCTCACCAACATTCGGAACTCAGGCACCAACGGATACATCCGCCTGAATCTGAGCACGGCCGGAGAGGAGAGAACGAGCATGGGAGCGGGAATGGGAATTGGAATGGGGAGCGGACTCGGGCTGGGCGGCCGAGAGAATGATTACTCCAGTCCGTTCAAAGAGGAGCTCCGGAAAACTCTGCAGCAGAGGAGCGTGCTTCCCGACGCCAATCCCGAGGAGTCTTCTGTGTAGATCTCACAGGAACCACAGAAAACCTCACCTACCTCCCTCCTGCTTGGGGAACTCTCTTCATCCTACTCGCAACCTATTTCTTCTCTGTCAACACCTCTTTGCAGTGGCAAACATCTCCCGTGCCATAAGGCCACCACGCTTCACGACATTCCCAAGGATTATTCTGGTTCTCACACTACTAACACTCAACTGAGACTGAACACAACTCCAAAAACTTTTATAAATGTCTGTATTTAAAGGACCAGACCGACAGGGCCTCGAGTTGATCTTGGCTAACAGGCGAACACAGGTACATCTCTGAGAGGAACCCAAGATTGGCTATTTGGCTAGTCAAATGTAGCCATCAGTTGGATCTGCGTAGGGCAGACGTCTGACAAAGGATCTGAATCATTTGACAAGCTGGAGGATACGGAGTTATTTTTGACATCTAGAGGTTGCTTGCCTCAGGTGTTTGGACACGTTTTTTGCACCCTTTTATGGGTAACGCATTAGAGAGAGGAGACAAGGACATGCATAAACTCAAATCACTAGATGACAATCACGCTCTTTTCTCATGAGGAAAGCAGAGGAGGAATTATTAAAGAGAAGAGAGGGGAAAAAACAAATGTAAAACCGAAACAGGACTTGAATAATGAACAAATGCTTTGCCTTTCTTTCTTTACAGCTCAAAAACTTTTTTTAAACATTGTCTTTTTTTCTGAGAATGTGTACTGAGACTTGCAGCACTAATTAATTGTGAGGTTTTTCCATATCTGTTTATTGCAACTGTTAAAGAAGGACTTCTTCTTCTTCTTTTTTTACGATTAATAGTTTCATCTGAAATGTGAAAGATTACCAGTGGTAGTAGCATGAGGAAGGTGTGAACTGAATGTTGTACTGAGACTGTGTTGGATGTGACAGCAAGTGCATTATTGTATATATTTGGCTTGAACTGCCAAATGAAGTACAACCCGTGTTTGCCTACATGATAAACCAGGTGAATGAAGCCACATGATGGAATTAAACTTTATTTCTGGAATGGTATAGAAGACTCCGCCCACATTCTGAAGCCGAATTGTTCTCAATGAAAGGGATCCTTCAAAGACTACAAGGGACTGGACTTTTAAAATAAGTCCGGAATGAGTGGCATAGGGCAACGGCTGATCAAACACAGGTAAGACTACACCAAATCATACCTTTTATTTGGGATGCTTACTTTATTTGAAATTCTATGAAGATATTGAAATTGTACATTCCCATTCAAAAGTTGCGTTAAGATTTTTTCCTATTTTTCAAAGAAGTCTCTTATGTTCATTAAGGCTGCATTTATTTGATCAAAAATGCAGTAAAGCAGTAATATTGAGAAATATTATTACAATTTAAAATAACTGTTTTCTATTTCAATATATTTTAAAATGTAATTTATGGCTGTGATGCAAAGCTGAATTTTCAGCATCATTACTCCAGTCGTCAGTGTCACATGATCCTTCAGAAATCATTCAAATATGCTGAGGTGATGATCAATAAATATTCAAAAGGTCAAAAGAACAATGTTTCTTTGAAACAGAAATTATTTGTTTAGTATTAATTTCATTGAAGACCCCAAGCCTTTGAACGGCAGTGTATGAAACAAGCTAATTCTTGATATATTAATATGTGAGACAGGGCAAAAGATATCCTGTGTTTAATAATAAAACAACAATAATAATAATTATTATCATTATTGTTCATTTTAAATATCTATAAAAAGACCACAAAACACTGTTACTAGCCATATTTCAAAATGATTTTGTTTAAATAACATACAAAAGCTGTAAACTAACTGACTATCTCTATTTTGTGTTTCAGTGTGAGTTTTGCAACTCTTAAACAGAGACTAAATACAAAAACAGGGTAAAAACAGAAAGCAGAGGACATTTCATTCCATTGACTTTGATTGTGAAGACAAATGAAGGAGATTTTGATTTTTCGTGACCCTGCGGGTGGAGAGGCACTACAGTGATCATCACGGAGCCATACTTTGTTGCATGATGTTCTCCAAAATATATTGTATAAGTTTCAACAATAAAACAATAGTCTCATGTATTTCAAAAAAGGAAGAAAAAACAAGTTTTCGTAGCTGTGCCTCTTCACTTCGGGTGAAGCCAAAGCAGACTGCAGACATGTTTCTTCTGTTTCCTGTTTTTCTTTTCTTTTTATTCTCTATTTTATGTTCTGGAATTTGTCCATTGCACAGAACTCAAGTGTTGTCTGAAATCTTGTTACTTCTACTCTCGTTTTGGTGGAATGCTGTTCTTTGTGGCATGAGAGCTTTACGATTTTCTCAAGCGGCTTTCCATTCTGTCATTGGCTCTTTTCTAGTCTTCAATCTAGAGTGCGCCACACTGCATAAGAGGGAAGTTTACTCTTGTCAGAAAAGATATTTGTACTAAAAGGAATGCTAAGAAATGTCAGATTAACAAGGACCCAATCCTTTCTGCCAGGACTTCTCAGGGTGGGCTTCTGACTCTCTTGAAATTGTGAAATTTCACCGTTCTTAATTTCACTAATCGCTTTGATAAGCCTGTCTAATGACTTAAAGTCAGACTTTAGACTGACATAATTTCACTGAGCGACCAGAAGTGTTGCATATGCTTGTTTGCAACATGCATGGCGTTTTTTGTACTGACCAGTATTTCCTGCTTCATTAGAAAAAAAATACTCGGTTCATTTCATCTCACATGGCTTTAAATCTGCTGTTACTTTGTGAGTTTTTGTATTATGAAATTCTCTTTTCTTGCAATTCAAAGATATTGTTAAAAAATCTTTTTTCCATTTTTTAGGTAATTATGTTAAGTAACTTATTTTGCTTGTACAAAAAGTTGATATTTATTACCATTGTACATATGCCCTTATTTTTTATATATGTATATATCAACAGAAAATAAAAGTCGAGATGAGTTCACAGCGAGTAGGATGTGTATGATTATTTGAGTGTTCAGTTAACTTTAAAATGCCATTGAAATGTCAGGTGTTACATTTGCTTTATTCAAAATGTCTACATCAGGGCTGCCCAAACTGGGTCCTGGAGGGCCGGTGTCCTGCAGAGTTTAGCTCCAACTTGCCTCAGCACACCTGCCTTTAAGTTTCTAGTATGCCTAGTAAGAGCTTGATTAGCCGGTTCAGGTGTGTTTAATTGGGGTTAGAGCTAAACTCTTCAGGACACCAGCCCTCCAGGACCGAGTTTGGACACCCCGGGTCTACATAGTGCTTTTCATGATGCTTCTGCTAAAAATATTTACAGTCAGTGTTTTGCTAACCTCATGGAGTCCAGACACAACACTTTGGACAATAACCAAAAGTGCAGTATCTGCTGCTTAGTGTCTGTATTTTTCTCTATATACTGTGCATTTGAACACCCTCACAGGTACAGGTGACAGGACAGCCACGAGCCGCATGCGCAGAAGCCAGAGCTGTGTGTAAAACATCAGCAGTCTGGACTGAGTGCATCATCACTTTCTACACAGCTGGGCTTCCAATTCACAGCTGTCTATAAAAGGAGGAGAGGAAGAGCTAGAGCCATTATCTGGAAAAGATTAGCTTTCTAAGTTGACACTGTATCTTTTTTCTATCCGCCATTGATATATACACTTTCGTGGATTTTGATTTATTTATTTTTTATAAAGACTTAATACTTTTATTCAGCAAGGATACTTCAAATCCAATCAAAAGTTGCAGTAAAGATATTTATGATGTTTTTCTATTTCAAATGAAAGCTGTTATTTTGGACTTTGTATTCATCAAAGAATCCTGAAAAAAAAAATTGTATCACTGTTTCCACAAAAAAAATGAAGCAGCACAATCGTAATCGTAAATCGAAATGTTTTTGAGCATCAAATCAGCATATCAGAATCATTTCTGAAGAATCAAGTGACGACTGAAGACTAGAGGACTACTGAAAACTCAGCTTTGCCATCACAGGAATTACATTTAAATACATTAAAATAGAAAAGAGTTTAAATTGTAATAATATTTCACAATATTACTGTTTTTCTGTATTTTTGATCAAATAAATGGTAAGCATTAGGGACTTCTTGCAAAGATATTAAAAAGTCTTAAATGTAGTGTACGCCTGAGGAGAAACTTTCTGATGAAAAAGTTTTGGCTATTTATTTTTTTCATTGCTTATTTTTTTATGACAAGTCTCCAGACAGCAGAATGATGAATAGTAATGTAGTAAATAATCATGTAAAATTCAGTAAATAAATATTTAAATATTTATTTACAGAAATAAGAGTGACTTGCTGGCATAAAGAATATTTTTGCTGAATCATTTTCTGTTTGTACTCTGTTCATTTATTTAACAAGAACCAGTTTCACAGGAAATGTGAGAACTGGCATTAATTATAAAACAGAAAATGTTCTCAGCATTTACTCACCCTCATTTTTCCAAATCCGTATCACAAAATGGGACCAAAATGTTGCCTCTGCTCTTTTGTCTCATTACAATTCATAACAATTTTACATTTTGGCAAACTGGCGGCGAATTTGCGTGAATTTGTACAATTTCATTTATATGCTTTCGTACAATATTTACATATTTATTTATCCAGCTATTTTCACAATTTTTCTCTGAACTTTTCCATAGGCCTCCTTTGAAATCCCTTGCTCTAATCAGTAGTTAGTGGGCAAATTCAGCCGAATTGTTAGCCAAAAATGTATAAAGCTCATAAAGACAAAGACTGATTTGGGGTGACCCTGTAAAGTCCTCTAACAACCTCCCCAGGCCTGTTCTGGCCCTGTTACCTTGAATAATTTGATAGATTTCCAAGGTGTATCTGCAGAAAATCCAGCCAAACTCTTGGTTCAGACAGACTGACCTCACACCACGACTGTTTGCCAAGCACTCTGCAGACATCCAACGCTCCGGAGGGAGTGTAGGTCTGAAATCTCCTTCAGGCCTGTTGTCAGAGTGCACCATCTCCCACTACAATCCTCATTGTTCCCCATTGTAACTACCATCAACTGCCACAAGACAGTTTATTTTATAGGCCTCGAGTTTGACATTACAGCATCTTACTGATGGGGATAACAACAGTGATGATGATCAGCATTAGAGTTTGCAACTACTTAACCTGGTACAAACCTCTCCAGTCAGCCCAAGCTGTCATGCCAGCTTCAGACTCACCTGCACTGGTTTTATTGTTGGTGGCTGCTTTTATTGTTGGTGGCTGCTGGTTGACACAGCAGATAAAGTGCTCAGCTGCCTCCAAAACTTACTGTTTTCAAGGACTGTCACAGCTAGCAAAGGCTTTCACAGAAGAGATGCATGACATTTTAAAAATAACACTACGCTTACTGGTCTCTTATAAACATTTTGCATGAAATTAGTTGCATAATTAACTTGTATAGTAAATATTTTCAGCACTTACCCTCATGTTTCCAAATCCCTATAACAAAATTAGACCAAAATTTTGCTTCTCATTACAATGTAACTATTTTCAATTTTGGTATATTGGTGGCAAATTTGCATCAATTTGTACGATCTGTTTAAGCCCCACTGTTCTTGTTAAAGAAATGAACAGGGTATGAACAGAAAATGATTGAATGATAAATATTCTTTATGCCAGCAGGCCACTCAAAAGTCTTGATATCCAGGAGCCTTGAAGTGAAAACAAAGAGTGAAAATGTGAATATGTTCTTGCAATCATTCCAAGTGATGAAAAAAATTAGGTAATTTATTTTTCATGTGAATGTATGAACATAAAAATGTCCAAATCCATATGACAAAATGAGGCCAAAATGTTGTTCCTGCTTTTTTTTTTGCCAAAACAGTGTCATTGCAATTTGTAACTATTTTTACATTGTGGCAAATTTACATGAATTTGTATAAAAGTCAAGCCAACTCATGTTTTCTCATGAGATCGAGCTGTCGTTTTGCATATAATGGCAGAAAGTGACCACAGGCTCTCAAGCTCCAAAAAGGACAGAAAAATTATATAGTTCATATGATTTAGAGACTATAATCAAGTTCTTTGAAGTAATATGATTGCTTGTGAGTAAAAGATTCAAATTTAATTCACACTAATGCATATTCACACTTGCTGTGCAGCAGATGATCACATAAGAACCAATGGTGTCAAACACTAATGAGATGTTAAAGCTGCAGCAGAAGGAAAGCTTTGCATTTTGACTTTAAATCACAAAAATTACTTTTCAGTTTTTTCATTCCACTGAAAAAAAAGTCAAAGAGTTTAAAGGTTATCTGGTGTGTTTTCCAAATGTGTCACTGTTAACCAATATTAGGCATTGACTCATAGACGTGTCTTTTTTCTTTCCATATTTGTAGCCAGTTGCATGTTAACACATCTCCTGCCATCATGTGCCTGAAAAAAAAAAAACTTTGTTGTGTATGTATGGCAACACATGGGGCAGTTTTTGATATGCACCTGCTCTTTTCTTCTGTATCCATTTCTTATCAAATGTTCCTTGTAGTTGAAAGTACATTTACATTCATGCATTTGGCAGATATTTTTGTCCAAAGCTACTTACAGTGCATTCAAGCTATACATGCTAATCAGTATGAAACTGTGACCTTGATATTGTTAAAGTAGTGTCTTTGGAATTTCAAACGGCATGTCCAAGCCTGCCGATCTACAAAATGTTGGTGGCTGCTGGTTGACACAGCAGATAAAGTGCTCAGCTGCCTCCAAAACTTACTGTTTTCAAGGACTGTCACAGCTAGCAAAGGCTTTCACAGAAGAGATGCATGACATTTTAAAAATAACACTACGCTTACTGGTCTCTTATAAACATTTTGCATGAAATTAGTTGCATAATTAACTTGCATGTATGCAATATCTCTTCAGGTATTTGCAGCAGACGTGAAATCTAGAGATTTCTTTCATGCATCTATAGTTAAAGTCTTAATCACAGCATGCATGTTATTTGAGCTTTGAAACGTTTATTTACATTCATTCACATTAAATTTTAATTAAGTTACCTTATTTTTCATCACTTGAAATGATGACAAGATCTCAAGACTTTTATTTCTGAGTGTCCTGCTGGCGTGAAGACTCAGTTGCATGTTAACACATCTCCTGCCATCATGTGCCTGAAAAAAAAAAAACTTTGTTGTGTATGTATGGCAACACATGGGGCAGTTTTTGATATGCACCTGCTCTTTTCTTCTGTATCCATTTCTTATCAAATGTTCCTTGTAGTTGAAAGTACATTTACATTCATGCATTTGGCAGATATTTTTGTCCAAAGCTACTTACAGTGCATTCAAGCTATACATGCTAATCAGTATGAAACTGTGACCTTGATATTGTTAAAGTAGTGTCTTTGGAATTTCAAACGGCATGTCCAAGCCTGCCGATCTACAAAAGGCACTGTACTCTAGTCAATTAGCTTACTAAAATGTGTCAAAGAAAACGAAGGTGACAATCGTAGGCAGCAAACATGTGCGATCAAAGAAGACACCAGACCGTTTCTTCAGACATCCACACTTGGCTCAATCTCTCACAGAGAGACACCTCCAGTCAAATAGAGCGAGATATTTCAAGATCACACGCTTTATTTCCTTCGAGATGGAGGCTGTTTGCAGTGCCTGACTGAATATCTTAAGGAATAAATTATGACTGATCAGTTTCGTTTAAAGCAGCTTTTGATCTTGCACTCGGCAACCTATAAACTGTGTCATTCCCTTTCACATAAACAGATACAAAATGCAAATTTACTGTTTGGTAGGTTTTTAGAGTAACATGGGAAAACTCTAATTACAAACTGACTAAATAACAGAAGCAGGATATAATGTGATTATCGGCTCTGCTTTAAAACCCTGCTAACAAGACAAAGTGTGTGTGTGTGTGTGTGTGTGTGTGTGTGCTAAAGTTAGAGGCAAACTGCTAATAAGAAATCAAAGTGGTGTTC